TTTATTTTAGTAATAGACTGTCCAGTATCTGATACTCGGCTTAAATGATTGCTAATGTGCTTAGAATGCTTCATATTCTGAAATTCTGATATGGCAAAGCTTTTCTTTCAAATATGTCCAGTGGACTAGGAATCAACAGACATAATTTTTAGTTTTATCTCTGCTACTTACTTTGTAATTTTGAAAAGTAAATTCATTCTGGAAAGTTTCTTTATCTGTACAATGGTGATTGGACTGATTTCTGTTATCTCTAGTAATTCCATAATTCTATTATAAAATGAAGTTCATTATATTTATATTTGTTTTCATTAAGTTTTTTTGAAAGCAAGACGTTTGATCTTCTTTAAAATACTCCTATTTAGGTTAGTGGTATCACTACCTGCCTCGCAAGTGCAAGGACCCAAGTTCGTTCCCTGGTACCAAAAAAATTAAATAAAATAAATAAAATACCATTAACAAATATATACAGTGGATTATAGATGTCCTTCTATTAATTGTAAATTTTATATGAATGATGTTTAATAGCTGGTTTCTTTACCTCATTTTTAGAAACCTATATTTCTGTTGTAGTTTTTAAAAAATTAACCAGCACTTCAGAACAGTGTTAACCCTTGAAATATCTTTCTTAGATTTTATACCCAGTGTCACACTTTCCAAGTCAGGCCCATTGTAATCAATGTAACAGCATGGAGCAAACATTAGTGCTTCCTCACTGGTTGTGTACTGTATACCCGAGGGCAGTCAAGGGAGGATAATGAATGAATACTGATGTTGCTTTTAATTGCTCTATAAGGTGGTAACTTGCCCTACTAAAGATTATTCAAGAGAGTGATGTTTATGTACTTCAAACTCCCCTATGTGCTGTTACTATATTTCATTAATTCTAAGAGTTGAGCTCTTCACTATAAAATTTAAAATGCTCTTCAATTCTGTTTTCTACCTAAGCACTTTGAAATGTATTACCAACATATAATTTACCAAGCCTCACAGCTCAGTTTGTAGTAATATATATGCAGAGCTCCAACTTAGCACTGTAGATTAATGCTATGTGTTATATTTTGATGTCTGACATTCTATTTATAAAAGTTGTATATGCAGACCATCTATTTCCTCCATTCTCCTCCTTTGTTGCGTTTATGTAACCTGCACTTTTTCTAACTTTGGTCTTTCTACTTTGAGTTCTTTTTGATCACTTCCCTAAATATTCTGATTCCAGTCAGTTACTGTTTTGTTTCCTCATCTCACTTCAGTTTTAATCCATCTACTTCAGTCTTATCCCCTTAGCTACTAGCATACTAATCTCTTACATCATCGCTACTGATTGTTTCTGCTTTCTTAGAAAACAAAGGAAAAAATGAAAGAATCGAGAATCTTGTCAGATTCTGAAAAATACAGTTTATTATATAGGCTTGTGTAACATATGTGGCCAAAAATTCTTTAAGACGATCCCTAAGTTGACTGAAAATGTAGAAACTCCCCTGATCTTTTCGACATCTTCCTGTTCCATGCTAAGAATATAGAGACCTTGATAGCTATTCTTGAAAAAATAAGAAAGCTGATGTTTGAGAAATCCTCTTATGAGTCAGTTTTGCATATATTTAATTTTTATTTCAGCTCCTACAATTGTACATTTTTTCCTAATTTACAAAGAAACTGATTCAGATGAACCAATGATTTATACTAGCACTCTTGGGAGGCTGAGACAGGAAAATTGCAAGTTCAAGCCCAGCTTGGACAATTTAACAAGACCCTGTCTCAAAATAAATAAATAAATAAATAGTAAAAAGATCTGGTGATAGAGATGTAACTCAGTGTGAAAATCTGATGGTACTGGGTTCAGTCCCCAGTACCGTAATAAATAATAATATAAATAAATAAATAAATAGTAAAAAGATCTGGTGATAGAGATGTAACTCAGTGTGAAAATCTGATGGTACTGGGTTCAGTCCCCAGTACCGTAATAATAATAATAATAATAATAATAATAATAATAATAATAATAATAATAATAATACCGTAATAATAATAATAACAACAATAGTGATTTGTTCAAAGTTACTGATAATTTCAGGTAAGAATGTTCTAATTATAAAGTGTTTTCTCAGTATGTGTCTCTATAATACATCGTGTATGCTATTCAGTGAAGATACTAGGATTTTACTTGTATATACTTTTCATAATTCATAAAGAATGTCTGTCAGAACAGAGAGACAAGATGCCTGATCTTCGGTGACAAGGCCTGACATTCTCAATCCTTAATGGTGGTAGTCTTTTGAATTAAAAAGACGTATAGTCAGTCTCAGATTATCTTTGTTGCTCTTTCTCTGTATTATGTATACAATATGATGCCATGGGGGGAAAATGTGCACTTTGAAATTAGAGACCTGGATTCAGATCCAGCATTTGAACTAACTTATGATTGTGTGACCTTGAGCAAATCACACATTTCCTAATCTATAAAATATGGATACTGTCTAGTTAACACACTGAAAGGGCCGGGGATTTAGCTCAGTGGTCCTGCCACCTGCCTCACAAGCACAAGATGCCAAGTTATATCCCCAGTACCAAAAAAAGAAACAAAACACATTGAAGAGCTTCTGATAGCAACAGCCCAAATGATTCTCAAATACATCATGCAAAGGGAAAGAAACCAGATTGAAAAGACTATACCTTATATGCTTTCATTCTGGACAAGACAAAATTCTTGGAATCAAAAAAACAGATCATTGATTCCTAGGGACCATGGGTGGGAGGAGAGTATGATGGGAAAGGACCTAGGGCATTTTAGGGGTAGAACTGTTTTGCATCTTGATTTTGGATGAAGTTGGATGCATATATGCACTTGTTGAAACTCCTAGAACTGCACACTAAAAAGTAAAGAGTAAATTTAGTATATGTAACATCTCAATTCAACTTTTTTTACTACTGACTTCATTTTTTAAATTATATCCAGAATCTACAGGGATTAAAAGTGGAGTGAAAGTGTTCACTGACACATACCGAGATATGATTATTGAAATTTTTTAATGACCAGTAAACAGGAGATAGGCATAAATGAAAATAAAGAAATGACTAATTTTGTTTTTGGTTTGGTTTTCGTTTTGGTTTTTGGTTTTTGGTTTTTTGAGACAGGGTCTCACTATGTAATTGAGACTGACCTGAAACTCACTATGTAGCCCAGGCTGTTCTCCAGTTCACAGTGATCCTCCTGCCTCAGCCTCCCGAGTACTGGGATTACAGGTGTACACCACCATGCCCAGCAAGAAAGGACTAATTTTGAATAATTATAAAATTATCTAATTTTTTGTTGTTGTTTCATTTTTTTGAGATAGAGTCTAGCTGTGTAATTCAGGCTAGCCTCAAACTCATGGCAATCCTCCAGCTTCAGCCTCCCAAATTCTGGGATTATAGGCCACCACATCTGGCCTAAATTTTCTAGCATAAATGAAAGCAGTTGTATTAGAATTATTTGGAGACCTTTTTCAGAAGCTCTTGTCTCACACCCATCCTTTTGTACTCAGGAAAGAAAGAAAAAAGACTGCCAGGAATATGTTTTTAACACACCCTAGACAGTTACTTCTAAGTTTAGGAAGCACTAGATAGAGTGCAACACAATTTTCACTCCAGTTTTTTTTTTTTTCTATGTGGGGGTTCTCTCCCTCCATATAAATACCTGAATATAGACTTCAAGGAAACGTCATGGACATGTCTGACTCAGATATTTGTAGTAAAACTTATTTTGGACTTAAGGACTACATCTCAATTACTAAAAGCAGTATCAGCAGTAATAGCCTTGGTTCTCATATCCTTGAAATCCATTTTTGAGACAAGGTCTCACTGTGGAGTTAAGGCTGGCCTCAGTCAAAACAATGGTAATCTTGCCTCAGCCTCCTAAATGCTAGGATTACAGGTGTGCACCATGACACCCAGTTTTAACTTCCTTTTCATCTCTTGGGACATTACGGCATGATTTTGTATTAATTGCTTCATATTTTCAGATCATAACAATAAAATTACCTTTAAGAACCTATTTTTATCAGTAAATGTGTCTGTTATTCTGATCAACAGACCAGTTTTTAAAAAGGGATACAAAAAAATATAAGACAGTAACCAAGCGTGATGGTGGATGCTTGTAATCCCAAGCATTTGGGAGGTTGAGACAAGAGGATCAGTAGGAGTTCAAAGCCAGCCTGAACTACATAGGAAGACCCTGTCTCAGAAAAGAAATACAGACTCCACTCTTAAAAGATTTATCTGGTTGGAAGATAAGACAGTGGTCGCATATAATGTTTTGCTAATAGAATAATGAGCTTTGTTTGAATTGTATCTTTGTAAAAAGGTATAGCCTTAAATAGGCCAGAGCATCATCCACTAGCCCTATTATACTCTGAAAGTGAATCAGGTCCAATTCAGGTAACTGGAAAAATAGAACATAGTGGAAAAGATAGATCCTACCTACTGGGAATAGAGATCTACAGTAAGCAAATCCACCTGTAGGTTCTAGAAGGAAGTATAACAGTTACAATATCTAAACAATACAATGTCAGGTCATTGTCCAAGTAAGTACTGCCCCAGGTCTATACGCAGAGATCAAATAGACCCAAATCTGGAAGAGATTTCAGTCTTAGAATCTAGGCAGAGCCTGATAAAACCTATTGGAATTGGGTAGAGGAGAATAGGTGTGACACTGTATGTGATGATTGTGTTATGTATTTTAGCAAAGCTTTCAGTTAACAGTATTTTAATTTTTAATTCTCAGCAGACTAGGAACAGCAAAGTATAGAGTATTCTAGTAGTGCTAGACAAAGAGAAACTTTTCAAAGATGCTGTTCTTTGTCATATGGATATTTATAATAACATAATGAAATAAAATAGATGGAAAGTAATTTTAAAGCTAAATGTATATTTTTGGCTAGCAAAGAGTGTATTTAGAGTTAGATTTAGGTGTGAAGCAGGAAACCTTTTTTTTTTTTTTTTTTTTAATGGTGTTTGCATTTCAGAGATTAAAAGCTGCTTTGACCCAGCAACATCCTCCAGTTACCAATGGTGATACTGTCAAAGGTCATGGTAGTGGATTGGTTAGGACTCAGTCAGAAGAATCTCGCCCACAATCATTACAACAACCAGCCACATCCACTACAGAAACTCCGGTATGTATATTGTTTTTATCCTTTACCAGTCTTCCTTAAAAAGATAAATACAATGTAACATAACTGACTTCTGTATATACTTTAAAGAAAAATATTTCTGGTCATGTTGTCTGTCCAAAACTGTATAAAAAGCCTTGGGCTGAAGATGTAGCTCAGTGGTAGATCACTTGCCTAGCAATCTGTGAGGCCCTGGGAGACCCCAGCATCACTCATTACCTGCCCACATTCCCCACTCCATTGCCAAAAAAAAAATTTGCAGAGAAAAACTGTATCAAGCCTTAAGAAAAGGTGGGTGACTATTTAAGTATTGATACAAAAATAATAGATCAATCATTACTGTGTGGGACACTTGTAATTTTGGGGTTTGTTTTTTGTTGGGGCGGGGTTAACTGGGGAATTGAACCCAGGAATTTCATACTGGGTTGCGTCCTCAGCATTCTCTCTCTCTCTCTCTCTCTCTCTCTCTCTCTCTCTCTCCCCC